ATAGATAGATAGATAGATAGATAGATAGATAGATAGATAGATAGATAGATAGATAGATAGATAGATAGATAGATAGATAGATAGATAGATTTCACCTGATGATTGCGCTAAATGAAACGTCAGGTGTCCCAAAAAGCGTTACACTTCACCCTGATGAAGGACACGAATGTCTGAACCAAATTTCATGGCGATCCATCCAACAGTTGTTGAGACTACGTTGAGACTGATATTGTAATAACCGTTTAATCTCTCTCAAAGAAAATGACCCACAAGTTTGACGAGGTTAAGTTTGTTTTAGCTTGACGCGAGATGTGTTGATGGGTTGTAAACGGCAACAGCTGGACAGACGAGCCCATTTTGAAATGCTGTCACACACCCCCCCCCACCACCACAAAACCCCTGGGATCTCAGTGTTATCACCTCAGATCTGACTGGCGATCCCGTGCTGCACTCCTCAAGTTTATCATAACTAAATCACTAAAACCTGAGGCTTTTCTGAGGATAACCTCTCAAGTCGCTGCGGAGGAATCGGTTATCTTGACAGCTAGCTGAGCTCCATCACATTCAATCCAACTGAGGGACGGGTCCCAGAGCAGCCGGCGAGATCAGATAGCAGCTTCTCCGTCTCTCAGCGCAGACGGATCGAATAACAACTGTTCTGAGGCCAGCGTAGAGGTCCACAAAGTCTCCATCTACTGGCCTGAGGGAGCTGGTCACTGCCCAGCAAGAGAGAGAGAGAGAGAGATTGAGAGAGATCGAGAGAGAGAGGCAGGAAGGAACTGGGTGCTTATGTCATTACCGACGGGGTAATTGCACTGGAGTGCCATTGATGCCGAGAGCCTCTTAAGAGGTGTCAGGATTGATTTGGGTGCGGATGGGGGCCCCCCTCGAGTCTGGCTCATGTGTGTTCTCACCTCAAGCTGACACACCAAACGCATGTTGCTGCGGCCCCCCAGGGGAAGCCATTAGCCATGCAGACATGGTAATGGTGTCATTTGAGCCAATCGAGTGTCAAATGAGAGTCAACGCCGCGGCTAACTAGCCACCGGGCAACCGCGCTATCACGCACGGCGCTGCTTTCGGCAGACACCTCAGTGTTACAGTCGGGGCTCATGTTCAGAAGAGACTTTACGGTCGCTGGAAGTGAACGTAGTAAATCCACTGAAGCGTAATGACAGAGGAGACAGCAAATGTTGTGAAGCAATTAAATGTTGGAAATGAACACCGCGCTGCACAGCCAAGAGTAATAAAACATTATCTATCATACTTTGGCCATATTAAACCTGTGCACGTGAATTCAATACAACATTCAAATACGTGTTTCTATTCATATGTTAAGAGGTGATTTAAAACAACTTGATAAAGACCTGAAACATCACAAGATAAGGGGTTAAAATGTGGCTACTTGCACACACTGATAATCAATAATACTTTCATTTTACTTTGATTGAATTTACATACATTTTCATTAATTCTTGCCGTCTGCTCCAAACATTTTTGGACCAACTGTTTTGTGTTTAAACTGCTATGTACTTTAAAATATTCAAAGCACGTTGCTCTTTAGGCCACACCCCTCTTCAGTGATGTCACAACAGGTGTTAGCTGTTGATGAACACCTGCAGAGGTGCATCCTGTTATTCAATGTTGAATTAACCTTTAACACGACAACACACCAACATGATTTTTAATACGCTGAAACAATATCTGAGACTTGTTTGTCCTAAACCCTAGAATGGAACCAACAGCACAGGTATGACGTGCTATTTACGGTGAAGTATTACTGAATTCAAACATTGGACACCATGCCAGCATTAATATCCCACAATGCAATGCGGTAGTGACAACAACGTTCATAACAGACAATGGCGTACAGCCCTGTTTTTGCCGACTAATCGATTAGTTGATTTAATCGTCAGATCTGTAAAACTGAGTTTCTCCACAAAATAACCATTTTAAATCTTGATGTGATGGGTTCATACATTTCTTGTAAATAACTCCTTTAGCATTAACAAAAAGCATAAAAAAACAACTTATTGAGTAAAGAAATATTAGTCGACTGAGACCAAAACTACCAATCAGTCGACTAACCGACTGAGATGAAGAAGCCCTCGACGTTTCCACAAATGGCAACCGTCCGGTGACATCAGGGAAAAGTCAGGGGTTGACCAAAGTCATCAGGGATCATCGTATGAGATACACGAATGTCTGAACCAAATTTGAAGGCAATACATCCAATAATAGTTGAGATATTTCAGTATGGACCGACCAGACAGAACAACGTGTGGATAGCTTCTCAAAAAACAAGAAAAATGTTTGAGGCACAAAAACGAAATATTATCCCTTTTAATTAGAAAAGAAAAATCACGTTAAAAGAGTCAAACCCTGGTTGTTCTTTCCTCATATCCATCTCTGACTGGCTGTTTTATTTTATTATATTACATCGTCACCACAGTGATGAAAGCTTCCTTCATCCACGTCTGCCATATGCTGAACACATTACGCACCATATGTGTATGTGTGTGTGTGTCATTGACGCCAACAAGCTAGAAGGTTACATAAAGACTTCTAGCTAAAAAGAAAAAGGCCATGTTTTCACACTCGCAGCACCTTTCCCGGAATATGTGTTCATTTGTCTGCGTGTGTGTGTGGTCATCTCCGGTGGGACGGAGGTCGTGTGCAAACATTCTGCCTACATCAACACGAGTTAAACTGTGAAGGTGTCCGTCCATATGAATCTGACAGCTCACATTAAGGATCACACTGGTGGAAAGGGAGCATCAAATGGAAACATTCACTTCATTTAAAGAACAAACAGATGCTCGTCTTCTTCTTTCCCACAATTCCAGAGGAGATCTGCTTCCGGGACTCCGTGGAAACAACATTTCCCTTTTTCTCTTCCTGGAACCACTTCATTGTGGGAACTGAACGACAAACGGATTCATCACGTAAGTGAGCGTAACATCTTTACAGAGGAATGTTTAAATAACAAAATCACACTGGGGCCAGATGGATAAAACACACCAGAGTTTGGTCTGGAAGCATCAAGTCAGATTTATAAAGCCGCGCATTCGGACAAGTCAAGTCAACACAGTTGAACTGGGCAAAAATCAACGCCTTCTAGTTAAAAAACAACATGTGGACTCGCAGGTTCATGAGCCTTTATGTAGCATCATTTAAAAAGCTCGGTGTGAAGCTGCTAAACATACACAGTTAAACTGACAAACATCTTAAAAGACTGACGCTAGGTTTGCCCGAGAAAACTTCGTACACTTGCTCTAAAGTATCCACAAGGTGTGCACCTTCTTAGTTTGTTAGCGAGCTAGCTCGCTAAGCTATGTTTCACGCACAAGATGTAACGTTATCCAACCCGATGCGCTTTTCAGCCGGGAAGCTAAAGAAGGAGTGAAACACGTTAACGTGAGTACATCCTGCTATTTCAAGAGTTTTCGGACTAAATGCAACTTTCTTGACATGTATATTTCATATTTAATTCCTGCATTTCAACTGCTGCACTATTGTTTTTTATAATTGTTTGGCCATTGTTGGAGGGAAACTGCTTCACTGCAATGTGTTTTTTTATGTGTATGACAATAAAGAGCATGAACTTGAGATTTGCCAGTAATGGTACTGAGCAGTTGCAGCTTCCAGCACGTCCCGGCCTCCATTCTTGACTCAACGTTATTAATCACAGGTTTTTGGAGAAAAACAGTGGATTTCTCTCCCCAGATCCGTCCTGGGCTCATTTTCGGGGCTCATACA